TGCAAACTGCACTAAAACCCCAATCTGCTATCAGAAAGCTGATGCCACACCATATGTGGTGTAGCATCAGATAAAATAAGCAATAATTTATCATTAGAAGCAGGAAGAAAAAAGCGTGCTAATGCTTCTTGTAGAAACCGTGATATTGTTAGAGCATTGGTTTTTTTCCACTTGCTTACAGCAAATTAAAAACGATTTTCGAAAGGTTTTATCGCTAAGTACACCAATCAATAAGTGCACAATGTATCTTCCTGACGAGTCAGTGGTCTCGTCCACACATATGTAAAAGGCTTATCTATATTATCTATTTCGGCCTTTATGTTGTGGATAACTGAGGAGTATAATAAATTGACATTATTTCCCTTCAAAGTTCGTTCACTGGAAATATTTTGTTTGCAATATTAAAAAAAAAGAACAAAAGTTTTGATAGCGGTATATTAGAAGATACTAATGCACAACACAAGTCTTCGTTAAAAGTTTCTTGTTCGGTTTGTTTTTTAGAACTTGACTAAAAGCACTTGGACACTGAAGGTTGATATTTTTCACTGGATGTATTTTACTTTTTCAGCTAAATGTTTCGCAGTTCTGACATGCTGATCTATTCGAAATTTTTTTCAGATAAAATCTAAAAATGAGTATAAATATTTTATAGTTGTACCCATTTTTAAAATCTAAGATTGTAGAAATAAACCAAAAATGAACTGTTTTTGCATAACAATTAAAATATTTAAATTGAATCAAACAAAAATCGGTATTGGGACCGTGCAAGTTCGGAACAGCGACACCTGGTGTCGTAAATCAGCAAAATTTACTGCGCTTTCATGTTAGATCGAGGTTACCGGATAACTGTCAAGGACGTAGCCCCAACAAAGAATACGAGAAAAACTAAGATTGAGGTTATGTCGGTATGTTATTAAAAGGTAAACGTTGTATGTAGTGTAAATACAAATAAATATATTATTAAATTACAGCATTACTGTTAATATGGATGCAATAATAAAGACTGGATTTGAGAAAGTAAATCACCAAATAACTTTTCAACCAAGCACTGAGTCAAATGGAAAAGCTTAAGTAGTGGCAAATGTCAAAAAAGAATGGAAGAATTATGTGGAAGAATTGAGAAAAATAAATTGCCATAAATAATGCTAATGCATAAATGCATAAATTAGCAGGTTAAGCCCATGATATCATCATATTGGTTTGAACAATTAATTATTTCCCTGTAAACTTTTGGACAGCAAATATATCTTAATGCAGCTCAGAAAAACTTGAACTTGATGCATTTTTGTAATCTTCAAAAAAATACAATTTAAACATTAAACTTAATTTTTGGCTTAAAATGAACTCTAAGTGAGTTGTAATAAAACTAAAATTTACACTTAAAAGTGAACTTTTATTTATAATTTATTTTAAACTGACTTTAAAATCGGGCGCAAGAATAACGCATAATTTAGGTTATGTTAGTTATGCTTTTTTATGATATAAATCCACTTTTCTCTTTGTAGTAATTTGTGCTTCGAAGTTGGAAACCAATAAAACTTAAATTGACAATTTTTTGTTGTATTTTTACAACTTATAACACAGCATTTCCTAAATCCCATTTTCTTCAGTGACAGAAGGTGTAAATAAACAAACAAATATGAAATATGACAATTGACAATATGAATTTATGAAATCTATGAAATTTGCAGTAAAAAATGCAAGCTTTCTCCGCTACTAGCGCACGTTCGTTTCTCGTATCACATCCAAGTACTTGCACGTCGCCAATAGTAATCTTGAAAATGTCAAGAAATTACTGTGCAAGAAGAAAAAACCCCCAAATATTTACAAGAGGCTCTTGTGAGCATAAATTAAAAGCACTTCATTAATAAATCGTATATATGATATGTTTTTGTTTTTATCGAAATTAATTAAATTAACTATTGTTAAAAAAAAATGTTAGCGACCTTTCAGTAGACTATTGAATGATTTAAATTTTAAATAGGTATCCTATTTTTTATCGCAAGGAGTGAAACAATGCTTAAAATAATATATCGATTTATTGCGAACTAGTCTTGTGTCTGTACTTTTTTTAAACAAAATCTCCAATTTTAAAATCTTTGTTTGTACCACCGTGTAAATTTTTAAAATAAAATAAAATTAATACGTACGTACTGACGGTTTTGCCACAACGAGAGCAATAAACTTTATCCATATCCATAGATAGCTCTTTGTGAGGTTTTATCCAAGTTAAAACATTGCTTATTTTCGGCATTTTTAAAGAACAATAATTATTCATAATTAGGAATACACGTTGTTTACGCCTCCAATTTTACAAAAAAAGTGAAAGCAAGTAAAACGGACCGTCAAAATAAAAATTTTTACCTAGAGACATAAATTGGTTTACACAAACCCTTAATTTCAGAACAAACCGTGACAAAACTATAAGCCGCTGTCTTTTATTAGTTACTATATCAAGAATTTGAATACCAAGTGATTATAAAACAAAATTAAATATTGGCCTTTTCATACTATCTGTAAGTTTGAATATAAAAATATATGTAAAATATATATAGTTAACATCAAATTTTTAAATTATATGCACTTTATGCTCACTTTTATAAAAATATGCAATATTTGACGTTTTTGAATTTTTTTGCAATATATGCAAAATATGCAATTTGCATATTTGCCTAAGTCTACTCATCAGCTATCCCTCATATACCTTTTAGAACCTTAAAAAACTTGTATAAGATGTTTACGTGAAATTAATGTTTGTTCACAGATAAACTGGGTTATAAATGCTCTTAATATTGCAGATTATAAAAAATCAGTTTAATAAAAAACTAATTAATCCTTGTGTTTGTAAACTCCTTGTGAAAACGAACCTCTTAAATTGTTAATCCAACAATTTTATTTCAACTTCTAAAAACTCATTCATTCAGCGACGGTAGCAACTTGATGAACGGAACCAGGGGCTTGCGCCTTCCGTCACCTTTTCTCTACAGCTTCGTCAGTGTGTCTCAGTGCCCTTTTCCAACCAGCCGGACGATTAGAGCACCCTTTTCGCCGTTTCGCCGCGAAGTTTTAAAAGTCCGCGAAGTTGTAACGGTTGTCGTCTACGAAGTTTCTTGATAGTGCGAGTTCTGATAGCAGCTTGGGGTTTTAGTGCAGTTCGCAAGAAGGGTAAGTAGTTTCTGTATCTATTTAAATTTAATGTTATCTTCTAGTATCGGAGTTGGTGAAACTTTTGGTATAATTAAATATTATACGTAAGTGATCTACTAGTATGGAGGTTATTTCAGTGAAATATTTTAGTAAAACTTACTTTACACTACCACCACTCAGTTAACAGATTTATTCAAACTAGAAGAAAATCTGGTACGCTTTTAAAAAATTAGTTCGTTTTGCTAATAAAAAAAATTTCACGCTGTATAAGGTTAAAAAAAAATAGGAATATTAAAATTTCTAAAGATAGGCAATTACTTTTTTAGGCTTTAGTTAAAAAATTAAATTTGACTATAAATTAAAGTTTGGCTAAATGAAAGTTAGATCTAAAAAAATAATTAAAAAAAATTAAGTATTTTATAAGTGTTATACTACCACAGCTCGTTCTATGCATTTTAAATATCACAATACTTATAGCCAGTTTCCAGAATTAGTACAGATAAATAAGCAAAAAAAAACCATGTTTCGGACCGCGAGTAATAGACCAGTGTCGAAGCCTTTAAAAAAGGTAAAAAGTAAAAAAAAATTATAGTCGAATGAAGCCTATTGAAAAAAGAAGAAAATATGCTAAAATTGGAAGAAAAAATAAGTTACACTCCATCTGAGGTCGGGAAGTGGGGGGGGGGGGGTTTTATGGGTAAAAATCGGTTTATCGCGATTTTCGGCGAAACTACAAGTGCCATTGAAAAAAGGTAAATAGCAAAGTTGTAGGGTAACAAGAAGATCTACAACTTTTGTATATTACACTTTTTTACATTACCTCAAAATTTTTGTGGAAAATTCAAAAAACTAAGTTTTAGATTTCTTAATTTTATCTTAAAAAAAAAGTTTTTTTTACGAAGTTTGGTGAAAACTTGCCTTAGTATCTATCAAAACTGTATTTTTTGGAATGGAAATATTTATTGTTTTACCTGATATTGATTTATTATCAAAAAAGCACCTAATTTTCAATCAAAATTTCACGCGTCAAAATATCAGCTTTTTTAAAAAAGTCGGTAGGCTTTTGTTCGTTGAAATCTCTACTTTGCAATAGTGTAAAAAAATATACATTACTATGAGAAATATTCACAAAAAACGCAAAAAAACGAAGAAAACTCGAATCGAACAATTTTTTTTTCAACCAAGCTCCGGCTTCTATATAACATGTAGCTTTTCCATTTTTAAAAATTTTAAAGTGTTTGTTTGTCTTTGTGTATTGTATTGTTATGTCCAAATTTATATGTATGACATTCTGCTCATGTCGGATAGGCCACAACTGACGAAATACCCCTGAGGATGATCTATTGATCGAAAGTACTTGGGCAAGATTTAATTAATTACTGTGTTCGATATTTGCCTTGTATACCATCAAAGTTCAATTTGTTTTTATCATTATGTACAATTAACTATAAACTATATGAAACTTGTGGAAGTTTCCAATGAAATGGAAGATTTTTGTAATGTTTGTTTTGCAACTACAGAGCAGCACATTGATTCACGGGGATATAGAATAAAAAGAGATGTAGCTGATTTACAACTATTTCATAAATTTTTCAACAGATATGATCCCTTTCCAGAGACTGATAACATTATGTTAATATTTTCTGGAATTATTGGCAGTACTTCTGTAAATTGTTACGAAGCGTGTGAAGAAGGAGAAAAATTTTTACAAGATATTGTGGGAATGAATTTTGGCAGTGTCAAATTTAAAAGTAAAAACAAAGTGTTGTCTCTAAAAACAGTTCAATTTTCCGTTAAAGTAAACGGAGATATTAGCAATCGATCCGTTATTGCTATTTCAACGAATATCTCTAATGATCGACAGTAAAAAAGATATGCGGACTTATTTAAAATACGAACTTGCACCTTTTTCATTGTCACTTTTTACCGAAAATGGTCTCAGGAAAAACGTTAAATCTCAGCTCTACGAATTATTTGAGAGTACAAATGGACCAACGCATTCTGACGGCATTGTGCGTGTCGTCGACGCTGGATTTTTACTGCAAATAGTAATTTGGCAGAAAAATGAAACGGTGGAAGAGATCATGAATGTATATTTGCGCTATGTAGAAAAACATTATACAGCAGGCAGCCATTTCGTTTTTGACGGCTATCCCGAAATTGAAAAATCAGTAACTGTGACACCAACACCAGCATCTCATTTAACTAAAAAAGGAGAACGTTGTCGTAGAAAAAGCTCAGACAATATTCTAAAGTTTCATTATCAAAACCATGCTAAAATACCATTTTTGCAGGAAAAATTTTTATCAAACGAGAAAAACAAAGACAAAATAATCAAAATGTTAATGGAAATCTTACAGTCACAAGGATTTTTCTGTAAACAAGCAGAAGAAGATGCTAATGCTGATATAATGTCATTGTTGTGGGTCAAGATATTGATCTTTTGGTCCTTTTGATTCAATTAAATGAAAATAATAATGACATTTATTTTCTTAAACCAGGTTCTGGAACTGTAGAAGATCAATTTTTCACGTCGAATAGTTTCAAATATGAATCTTGCAAAAATATCATTGCATTTCTGCATTATTTTAGGTTGCGATACATCTGGATTTGCCGGAAAAGGAAAGAAAAGTATCGTAAATTTATTCTTAGACGCTAAAAATTTGTCAAGTTTGGCTAACATTTTTTATGAAAAAGATGCAAATAAACAAGATATCGCAAAAAATGGATTACAGTTACAAATGTATTACAATTACAATTACAATTACAAATTGTGGATGAGGAAGTAACGCAGACAGGAAACAATATTGGAGATGAAGACGGTGATGTTCTTGAATATTTCGAAGATCTAGAATCAGAAGGCAACAAAGGAATGCCATCAAAGAGGCAAAAATTAATGCCCTAAAATATTATAATGTATATATATATATATATATATATATATATATTATATATATATATATATATATATATATTATATATATATATAAATATATATATATATATATATATATATATATATATATATATATATTGTAAGATTGCCCATGACATAAATGTATTAATAAACCAGCTTTTTAATTGTTAAAACAAATCGTATAGCAGTCACATTTTTTGATGAAATTCCCTTTAAATCCTATATTGAATATTTTTAACAGCTATTTTCACATGTGTTTTTGCAATCTTAATGTTTTGTGGATTTATATTTTTTTTTGTTTTTTAATGTATCATGAAATCTTAAGCTAAATGACTAAATACAGTATTACTTATAAGAAATATCTTCAAAATTGTACATAATGATAAAAAAAATGTTCGATTCGAGTTTTTTTTCATTTTTTGCGTTTTTTGTGAACATTTCCTGTAGTAATGTATATTTTTTTACACTATCGGAAAGTAGAGATTTCAATGAACAAAAAGCCCACAGACTTTTTTAAAAAAGCTGATATTTTGACGGTGAATTTTCGATTGAAAATTAGGGTGCTTTTTCGATAATAAATGAATATCAGGTAAAAAAATAAATTTTTCAATTCCAAAAAATTACAGTGTATTTGATACATACTAAGGCAAGTTTTCACCAAATTTCGTAAAAAATATTTTTTTTAAAGATAATAAAAAATCAAAAATTTTTGTCTCCACAAAAATTTTGAGGTTATGTAAAAAAAGAGTAAAAATAAAAGTTATAGATCTTTTTGTTAACTACAACTTTGCTATTTAACTTTTTTCCATAGCACTTGTAGTTTCGCGGAAAATCGCGATAAACCGATTTTACCCTTAAACCCCCTCCCCACTTCCTGACCTCGGATGGAGTGTAATTGATTTTTTCTTCCAATTTTAGCATATTCTATTCTTTTTCCAATAGGTTTCATTCTACTATATATTTTTTTTTGGTTTCAAAAATTATCGAACCTGGTCTATAATCCAAATATCTGACATTTTTTTTAGTTATTATAGACTTACCTAAAGACAACCTATATGTTTTCCACATGTCTGCATAAATTGTGGCGTTTTTTGTAATTATTGTCAATTTAATGTTGAAAATGCCATTTTTTGATTTTTTGCTTACTATTGAAAAGTTTAATATTTAAAATAATATTACGAAACTTTATCTTTTAACCTCCTATCTATAATAATGTTTTTTTTTTCTAAATTTAATATTTTTAGCTTTCAGATTTGCTTAAGGAAGTTTAAAAAGTATCTGAAAAAATGTTTAAAAAAATATTAATCCTAAAATTGATTTTAATAATGTTCTACATAAAGGACAGATGTGGGTAATTGATCTTTTAAATAAAAAATTATGTCCTTCTCATAGGACTCTGGCTTCCTATATTACGAGATAAGCAAAGATAAAAAAATGAAAAAAAATTAAAGAAGGTAATGTTTTTCTAGTTTTGAGACTACAAAAACAAGATTCATTCGTATAACTAAAAAATGTACATTCTTTAAATGTTTGAAATGATAAAAATATAAAAATTATGCATTTTCGTGAAAATCGCTAAAACAACATCTTGCAGTTGTAAAACATAGAACATTGAACAATTTTTGTAAAATATTATTGTTTGCATGGAGCTGCCATCTTTTCTGCATCTGTTTTATTTAGAGGCATAATCTGGCATGTGTATTGCTTTTTGTTACCTTCGTATAACTGATGGTAAAGGAGTATTGGGCGTTATTCTGTGTTTATGTTTAGGCAATAATTGAACTATATCTTCGTCATCGCTATTGCAATCGTTGTCCATATCATTTTGTTCAATTAGTTTCCCTTCCAATTTTATTTTATAGTGTCTTAATTGCCAAATATTTTTACTGCCTTTACTTCTTTCACGCTGTCTATATTGAAGTCAAGCGTTGACGACTGCTAAATCTATGAATTGGCGACGGGAAAAACGGCAAGCATATGATTTACTAAATCCACCCCGCCCATATTTTAATTATACTTCTTAATTACTTCTGGCCGGCAAACTAGTTCATAGATTTTTTTTTTGACCACCGCTTACAATAATCTATATTCCCCGAGGAAAAAATAGTAGATAACATTATTACTGGTATTTTGTCCATCCACCGTGTGATGGCCATGTTGAGAGCCATCATCTCTATTTCTGATTTCATAAATACCCTTTAAAGATTTTGAAAAAAGTTTTTCTGGTTGCATGAAACAATTTTTAGGATCGGTTCTTCTATGGTTCCAGTTCCATAAAGTCCACGAGACAATAATTCATCATCACGTACCGCTACAACGCTTCCATCAACCTAGGGTCAAATGGAATGGTAATTTTCCGGAGATCTGCTTTTATGTTATCTCTCCATCGCATTCTGGGACTTCCGAGTGATTTTTTGCCTGTGGGAATCTCCTCCCATACCAGTTTTACAATTCTTTCATTATGCAGTCTGAGCACGTGGCCTGCCCTTCTTAGTCGCTGTGATTTAATTTCTGGGACAATATTGGCGTCGTTGTAGAGTGCTTTTAATTCGATAGTGGTTCTGATCTTGTACTGGTTTGTGGTGATGTCATGGTGAGGTCCGAAAATTTCTCTAAGTATTTTTCGTTCAAAGCGTCTGAGCTTTTCTTCGTTTGCTTTGGTCATGGTCCACGTTTCGCATCCATATGTTATTACAGGTCTGACGATGGATTTATAGATTTTGATCTTTGAACTTCTTGTGAGATTTTTTGATTTTATGAGCTTATCCAGTGCAAATAGACAGCGGTTTGCAGATTGGATTCTGTCTTTTATTTCTTCAGTAATATCGTTGTCAGCTGTGATTACGGCTCCCAGATACTTAAAACGTTGTACTCTTTTGAAATTGAAGATGTTGACCGTCACATTTTATCCTATTCTGTCTATTCGTGTCGTTCTATTTATACACATTTATTTCGTCTTTTCTTCGTTAATCTTCAGCCCTACTTCACTTGTTGCTCCTTCCACCTTGTTGAAAATGTCTTTCGTGGATAGGATGGAGTCTCCAACGAGATCTACGTCATCTGCATATGAAAGTAACAGCTTGGGACCTTGAACCGATAGCAATTCTGTTTTTATTTCGGCCGACCTCATGGCTTTCTCTACAAGGTTAATAAGTAGTGGAGATAATGCATCACCCTGTTTAAGTCCACTTTTAATTTCAAAGCTGCCAGACAGTTTATTATTTACACGTAGTTTAGATATTCCACCCTCCATACAGACTTTGGTCATCCGAATGAGTTTCTTTGGTATTGAGAACTAAGCAAATACATTATCGTGGCTAAATAGATCAAGTTATCCAAAGCCGTTAATTAAATAAAAAAACAACTTATTTGGTTTGGACATATAGAAAAAAAGGATTAACAATTTTGTTCCAACACAACGAAAAACCGTCACGTAACGGTTACGCTCCTGCGCACTAACCAAAATACGTTCCAATAAAAATATGATTGTTAAAAACTATGGTGAAAGCCAGAATTATTTAGGTAGATTGTCAACAAATTATGTTAGTTGTCAGAAAATCGTTCCAACATCAGTTTCCAAATTACCGTCATCAGACGATACAAATGATGAACATGCACACTAAAAACGGTACCAGTAGTTTTGTGACGGTTTCCGGACCGTATAAAAATTGCGTGTTGGAATAAACCTATAGAATACCAAAGTTTCAACAAGAAGACTGTAGAAAAATAGGTAAAATAAGAATAATGGAGAGAAGTACTAGACAAAGTGGTCTCTTTCTAGAGACATAGAAAGAGGAGGAGAAAAAAACATAGAAGAGGAGCTATGGAACGACCGGACGACGTGCCAATGGAAGTTGGAAAATGGCTCAGAACGTTGTAACTATTTGGTAGAGGTATAATAAGAGTAGTGTTTCTAATATTTAAATAAAAAAATTGACAAGATATAGACGATATTTTTCTTTTATTGTTAAATTAATATTTAACCGGAAATGTCAATTCGATCGTAACTTCAAATCGATTATTACCCACCTCATGAATTGATTACCATACCAAAGTTATGAACTCCGGGAACTAGAGAGTTGTCGATCAAGATAATTATTATTAAAGACCCAGTTGACACATTAATCGTCTTTGATTATAATCAACTGGTTGCAGGAGATTATTAAACAAATCGATTCTGGGACTCGGTGCAAATTTATGGGTTTTAGTTGAACATTAAATTAACGTTGTTATAAACAGGATAATTAAAGCTTTAATTGATTTACCAATGTTTTAATATGGTCATCGAAAAAAAATCGTCGTAGTTGGTGGATATGTATTATTAAATCCTTTACGTAACCATACGTAATAAAAAATAACTTATCTTGTCTACTATATTTTATTTTCTTTACAACTGACTTTTAAATAAAATTCAAAAAATCTAAAACATAATAAAATCTAGTATAAAGGAAATAAGTCAATACTATAAATCTTAAATAGTTTTTATTATTTAATGATGGTAAGTTTTGG